GGAGCCGGGCGGGCCGACAGAACGTGTGCTTGATAGAATCCCATCTATAGTATTCACGGTACTCGCAGCATCACACGCTGGGGTCTTCTACGCAAATATACATGAAAAAGGCGCTCCGACGTCGGTCGACGTTGACTACAAAGGGAATTTTATTCGGCCGCTCTTATATATTTAAAGTGGAGCCGGGTAGGCCGACAGCACGTGTGTATGGTAACATCTGATCTAAACCGTGATGCTGCGAGCAAAGTGAATATGTGTTGATTTTACAATGCACACTTGCTGGCAGCCCGCCCGCGACGAGTTTGAGCGTATCAAAACGGCCGAAGAAAAATTTCTTTGCAATCAGCGGTAACCGACGCACGAGCGCTATCTTCACGTACATTAATATAGGCATAGCAGGAAACATAGGGCTGTGTTGTGTTGTGTTACACAACACAACACAACACAACACAACACAACACAACACAACACAACACAACACAACACAACACAACACAACACAACACAACACAACACAACACAACACAACACAACACAACACAACACAACACAACATACACACGCGCGCCCACGCGCGACTTGACACGACACAAAATTGATTCAACAACATGCCTTTGTAATGACTGTTCATAATATATGGATAAATTCTATGTAATGTTAATGGTAGACGATATTCACAGTCTACAATCACTGCGCACTGTTACCCACATAAACGAGTTTACGGGAATCGATTACTACGGTCTACAAATGGCACCGTGTGTGTTTAATCGTGATTAGTAATATGATTGGCAATAACGGCTGTGTGTTGTCTGTGCAGGAGCCCAAGGCAGAAGATGGAGGTAGCTACAGGTGTAATGCAGTTAACGATGCTGGGGAGAGCAACGCAAATATCGCCCTCAATTTTGCTGGTGAGTCAGAGTACGCCGTAGAGAGTTCGCGTTGTTGATTGACTTCTGGTTACAGCCTGAGCCTTAACAAAATGCGTTCTTGAACTAAATCGACAATTAGAACTGAACTACATTAAATATAAATTTGTAATTGAGCTACTGTGTGTGGCTAAAATTTCCTCCCTTCACCTCCCGATTATCCCAATTAATAAGCCCATATAATCTTCTGTTAATTTTTCCAGTTTCCACAAAACCGGAATGCATTGCAATCAATAGCTATGATGACCAGTTTCTATTGCAATTATTGTTCGATTGCAGCTGACTTCATAGTTACCACAACTGTTTTTATATTCTTCTCAACTGCCCACAGCCAGTAGATATTAGCCTAACTTCACAATCACCACAATCCATATCTGATCATGTACGTCCTACTCCTCCTCGTTCTCAGCTCCCCCACAACCGGAAGGCATTGCACCGAACTTCGTCGCCAAGCCGAAGATCATTCCATCAGCGGACGGCAGCATGGTGACGCTGCAGTGTCAGGCCAAGTGCAAGCCGGCGCCGACCGTCGTGTGGCGTTGCGATGGCAACGAGGTCGCCGCCTCCGCGCGGTTCGTCATGACCGTCTTGCCGCAAGATGGCGACATCTTCGTCATCCAGTTGGAGATTAAGGTGAGTCGGATGAAGATCGGAAGTCTATCACTTGGAGCGGACAGTTTTAGACAAGTCTCGCCCGACAACGCGCAGGACAAAATCAATAACATTCAATCGAAAGCGTTCTGTTAGAGCGTTACCAATATAATTGCCATATTACACAGTGAAACCAGTATGTAACGGCCACTCAACGTCGGAGTCTCTTTTATAGATAGGCGTCAATAATATAATATTTATAATTAAATATGTTAATCATAATCATAACAAATAAATCGTAATAAATTATAATAAATAATAATAAAAATAAAGTAAAATAAAATAAAATAAATCATAATAAGGTGACGATTCCTCGCTATCGGTTCGAGACTTGTTTAGTTATAAAAACTGTATATATACTAGTATGAACCCTAAACTATATGGCTTCGTAAAGTTCGCAGAGAGAGCGTACGATAGGTTAATATATCCAGGGTAGTACCCAGAAATTCCGCTTGCGCATCACACCAGTCACGCGTGAGAACAAGTTTTTAATTGCTAGACTGGATCCTCGTCATCGCTATGCATTTAGCCAGCATAGAACTACAGTCATCGGACAAGTCTAAGTAACACGCGAATTAACAGCGTGTCGAAAAAAGCGGGGGCAATGTTCTATGCTTGAAATTTAATTGAGTTAAGGGACTCTAACGGAACCATAATAATTATCGCAGTGCTTATAGGTGCATATTTTGATGATTGATGAGGTGATTAGACAGCTTTAACGACGACGAAACAGCTAAATTCAGCTAACGTACCACACACCTGGTCCGTCCCCAACTATACGCTGTTTTTTAGTTATATGTAGGATATAACTCTTGCGGGGTAAAGCGTGCAGCCTAAACAGACTGTGTTTTGGTACTCGGCAGTATTTCGGTCTGGATCTGTAACCGACACTGTTGCCCGTGTTGCCCATGTATGAGACTGTGCGGAGGTGGCGCCGCCATGTGTACAAAAAACACTAGCACATCGTACGAGAAACGCGAGAACTGGGAAAGGGGTTGAGCGGGGAGGGGGGGGGGGCAAGCGGAAGGAAAGGGAGGGTAAAAGTGTGTGAGAGGGGGGACATAATTAGAGAAATACATCGAGTGAAATATGGAGCTGGTGCGTGAGACAGGGCGGAAAGCAGGAGGTAGAGAGAGAGGGGGGATGAGAGAGAGAGAGAGAGAGAGAGAGAGAGAGAGAAGAAGAAGAGAGAGAGAGAGAGAGAGAGAGAGAGAGAGGAGAGAGAGAGAGAGAGAGAGAGAGAGAGAGAGAGAGAGAGAGAGAGAGAGAGAGAGAGAGACGACGACGACGACGACGACGACGACGACGACGACGTACGTACGTACGTACGTACGTACGTAC